CACATCCTCCGGCTAAAGAACATTTTGATGTTTGTACGGTAGTATATGAAAAGTCCTAACCCCAGATCGTTTACCTTTATCGTTTATAATGAGCGCGAGACGACTCCAGCGGATGAAGCGATGCGAGAAGTACCGGCAATGCGGGTGTTCAAATACCATGGAGCCGTGGTCTGCTTCAATGCCCCCCCCCCCCTGAGGCGAGGATGATCAAGGCACTAGTGCAATGTGTTGGCTACCCTAGTGTTGGATTATTTGTATGCATTTAGTCGTTTGTCTTTGTACCTTTACTTAAAAGGATGCCCATTTCGATGGAGTTTGCGCCATGCTACCTGGCATTGCCATGTATACGTATTAATCGAACTAAACTTAAATTTGATATGCAATGAATATTGAAAATATTGCGCATTACTTAGGACGGATTTTCGCTTCGTATGATAGTACATTTACCATCTATATCCAGTACAAAAAACTGACTGAAAATCTGATATTATCAATAATTGTCAAATCGAACAGGTAACTGAATGCTGTACATTGAAACTTCAAAGCTATATGCCTCCAAGTTTTCTTTTAAGACTTTGAAGAGAGCGAAGATCGTTTAGCTTGACGCTGTTTAACCCCAAAAGATTAATTTCTTTAGTCTGGGTATAGAACGGCATGAAAAGCGATTGCTAGCCAATATCAAGATCAAAACAAATTTCTACTGGAGAAGGTGCTGAGACATGGAATAGATTATCTTCACATCCGATCATATTACATTATGCACAGATTTTTCAGTCAATTATCTTCCATCCATAGTGATTCGATGGCTGATCAGTTTTTGTGGTTCATTCGCTAGGATCCTGAAGAATTGCAGAGATGTACTGAAGTACGGTGGCGACCAAATTGTAGGCCCAAACAGTATTGACCATCATTTATATAACCTTCGCTTTCATTCTCCGAACGCACACCAAACTTTCTGACGGGTCATCCTGGAGATGCCTTGGTCCGGTTATTAATGGACTTGTTGCGTGGTATGGCGAAAATGTACGTAACAAGAGATCGAGTAAGTTCGGCAGAATTATTGATTTAATATATCAAACGTAAGTGTATCTGCAAGTTCATGCTGAAGAGATCGCGATCCAAGTGGGCGCTCTTCACCTAGGTTAGCATGTCTTGCATGTACGTAAGCGGTGAAGGCAGAAAGATGCATCTTGCATAGCATTAATAAATGCTGAATACCTCTCAACCAAAAAAAACAGTGTCTTTGTTCTGTCTTGGGGTATTGACTAACATGATGCCTAGTTATGCTCTTTTCAAAAAGAAACAGCTATTGTGTACTAGATGCCCTCAGTACTTGGTTATATTCAAAGTCATCGATGCTTATATGTACGATGCCTGTTTAGATTTTCATCAACTGTTCGAAGCATCGACGTTGTATTGTTGTTATCTTCAGTGGCTCTACATGTCATTTTAATATCAGACGATTACCACTGATCGATTTTCGAATCGTTGTGCATGAGGCAAATTCTGGCATGGCGAACAAAGTTCAATTGCACTCCTAGTCACCAAACGAAGGGCGCCATCGATTGCAAAAATTTATAGAACGCATTTGCTGAAAGTGCCTGTTTTGTTGGACATGTGTTTTACGATGTTTTGGAACTGCATTAAAGGAATGTTCG